ACGTAACGTCACAGAGACACTGCCGTAGCGTCACAGAGACACTGGCGTAACGTCACAGAGGTAGTGACGTGACATCACAGTGACAATGACGTAACATCACGGAGGCAATGACGTAACGTCACAGAGGCAGTGACGTAACATTACAGAGGCAGTGACGTAACGGCACAGAGACACTGACGTGACATCGCAGAGGCAATGACGTAACGTCATAGAGGGAGTTGTCTTAACATCACAGAGGCAGTGACGTAACGGCACAGTAGGCAGTGACGTAAATCACAGAGCCAGTGACGTAACGTACAGAGGGCCACTGTACGTACGTCACAGGCAGGACCACTGATCGTTAAGCGTCAAGAGGCAGTGACGTGACATCACAGAGACACTGCGTAACGTCACAGAGACACTGAACGTAACGTCACAGAAGCACTGACGTAACGTCACAGTAGACAGTAACGTAACGTCACAGAGACACTGACGTAACGTCACAGAGGCAGTGACGTAACGTCACAGAGGTACGCACCTGCGACCCAATCGTTCGACGAGGTAGACGGACACAAACGTCGACAGCATGTTGACAGTGCCTAGTCCTATCGTAGCATAAACGGCGCTGGTTTCAGCTAAGCCAGCCGTTATGAATATGGACGTGGAGTAGTAAACAACCTGCAATGGTAGCGTGAGCCTTTCATTTTTATGTCTGCATTCATCGCATGCAAGAAGTAAGTTATAGCAAGTCGCTAAACGGAAACAGCTTAGTATTAGTTAGTATTAGTAATACAATTAGAGAGAGAGAGAGAGAGAGCACGAGAGAGAGCGCGATTAGTAGAGAATAGACAGATAGTAGAGAGAGAGATGAAGGAGAGAGGAGAGAGAGAGGAGAGAGACGGAAGAGGAGAGAGAGAGAGAAAGAGAGAAGAGAGAGAGAGAAAGAGAAAAATTAGAAGAACAAGAAAAAGAGAGAGAGTGAAGAGAAGAAGAAGAAGAAGATAAAAAAAGAACAAAGAGCGAGAGAGAGAGAGAGAGAGAAGAAGAAAAAGCGAGAGAAAAAGAAAGAGAGAGAGAGAGCGAGAGAGAGAGAGAGAGAGAAGAAGAAGAAAAAGAAGAAGAAGAAGAGAGCGAGAGAGAGAGAGAGATAGAGAAAGAGAAAAAAAAGGAAAAGAGAGCGAGAGAAAAAGAAAAGAGAGAGAGAGAGAGAGAGAGAGAGAGAGAGAGAAGGAGAACAACAACAATAACAAGAGAGAAAGAGAGAAGAAAGAGAACAAAAACAACAACAACAACAACAACAACAACAACAACAACAACAGCAACAACAAGAGAGCGTGATAGAGAGAGGGGGGAGAAAAAGAGTGGCGAGAGGTTATGCTCATCATCAGGCGTCTCCGCTGGTCTATATGCACGTACCGCGTTCACGCCGGACAACTGCTGCGCTAAGTGAATTGCGATGCTAATGAACATTGGCTTCCTGAGATGCGGCTCCCTGAAGAGATACGTCCAGTTCGTCTGCCGATATGTAAGAGCGTTAGTAAGTCTTCATCGTCCCTGGCGGGACATAAGGATCGATGCATCTATTTCCTCCTGCCATCCAGCTCTGCCTATGGACACGGCCTGCGCCTCGTCCCAAGAGAGAGGGTACAACAATCCCCAGCGAGAGAGTAACTATTTTGAACACAAGATTGAGTATACTTATATCGGTTAGCCACCGCCACAACGTGCCCGTTCCTATATAATTGACAAATAGCAACTCGAATCAAATCGACGAAATTGGATAGCAATGATCAAGGGGTGGCGCTAGAGATTGCCGACATAGGGTCGATCATCTCCGACGGTTGAAGAGAAAGTTCCAGTGGGCGGTGGGGTGGGGTGGGTGGAAGATATAAACTCACATTGCAAGTAGGGCGTAAAAATCAAAAATTGGTAGGCCCGAGTTATATTTGTCCAAATTTCAATATTTGTTATATTAATACTATTTTTTATATTGTAATATATTGTATGTAGAGATAAATCAGTCCTTCGTCCTGCTGCTCGTCTTCTTAAATTATTGCGACTAACGAATCACTCTACAACTGACGCGAGACTGTTAATTTTTTCATATTAAACTCTCTATTCTAGTTACTTATTTTCCCCCTGTAAAGGAGGGTGCGAAACCTTCCCGATGGAGAAGCTGTAGCGCCCTCTGGCGCTAGCCCTAGTAACGGTATTCTATATATGGCCAACATGGGTAGCACCAAGAGCACCTAATATCCATGTATCTTCTGGAAAGTCTCTTAATTCTAGTTCTGGATTTTAGTAGCATCTACGTACCAAATATAACAGTAGAAGGCATAGCTCAGAATGAACATGTAACGTATAAAATTCAGTCTTAAATTTTGCAAGCGACAGTGCTAATGAAATTTACACGTACAATGGTGGCCCGTTGCGTGCATAGCGTTACCGCAATAAGGAACTCGAATAAACGCCCTATACAGAACAATGTACTGATTTTTGTGTGATCTCAACTGTTATAACAGTCGCCACAATGAAGTATATTCGCTGCTGCCGTGGATCTTTTTATGTAATTTATTAACTGCACACACCGTCGGAACATCCTTTTGCTCTCTAGCCAGAGCATGGATTTCATACAGTTCGGTACTTGAGTAATATTTGCCTCTCAAGTACATCAGCGCTGGAAAGAGTTATAAAGTATAAAATCAAATTAGTTCGTCAGTCAGTCAATTAAATCAGTCAGTCAGTTAGTCAGTCAGTCAGTGAGTCAGTGAGTCAGTGAGTCAGTCAGTCAGTGAGTTAATGAGTCAGTGAGTCAGTCAGTCAGTGAGTCAGTCAGTGAGTGAGTCAGTCAGTCAGTCAGTCAGTCAGTCAGTCAGTCAGTCAGTTAGTCAGTCAGTCAGTCAGTCAGTCAGTCAGTCAGTCAGTCAGTCAGTCATGCAATCAGTCAGTCATCTATACTTGTTCCCCGACATTCCGTTTTAATCCATCAAGGACTATTGACGGTCCGCCCAGCATTATGCTCGTGACTAGTTCACAACAATAGCTGGCCTATTCATATTTACAAACGCTCATGAATCGCGTGTACGCGCAAGCGCACTATACGCACCACTCTCTGCCTTTTTCACGTCGTTTTTGGCAAAGAGAAGATATCGTGGCGTCTCCGGTAGGAAAATACCCATTGTCAGCAGATTGTATATAGCTGGCAGAGCGCAGACACCTATGGGAGGAAAACGTCATAACAATACAAGAGCGCATGAAACCATAAACTATAGCTTAATTATTGTCACTTGGTTACTTGCTGCACAATGACTGAAAGCATCACTAACATTAATTATGCGATAATAACATAATTACAATAATAATTATATAAAATACAATATTATATATAGAATATAAACATAGAATGTATAATGTAAATAAAATAATGATTTATTATATTATAAGTAATATAAATAATTATTGCGTTAATTTTAAAATAATGTTCATAGAGGTTCTCTAACGTGAATTTCGTTTTCATTGCTGATCGCGCGAGTGATTAAGTCGCTAGATGTGACCTCACCCAATAGATAGGGCCAAAGCTCCTCGTTGCCTAGCAACTGTGGAAGACCGAGGATCTGTGAGATGAGGATGGAGATGACGACAGCAGCTTGGTGCATGGTACCCATGGCTCCTCTCAGGTGCTTCGGCGAGATCTCCACTATGTACAGTGGTACTGCGCCGGACGACAGCCCTAGTTAATAATAATAATAATAATAATAATAATAATAATAATAATAATAATAATAACAATAACAATAACAATAAGTTAGATAAACAATAACAATAGCTGATAATGATGTGTATGATAAACATAACACTAAAGAGCAATCGCGTATATAAAGTAAAAACAATCACGTGCACAATTCGGAGATAATCACGTGAACAATATGGGAGCACTCACGTAATTAAGTAGTCGAGAGACAACCAGACACTGAGGTGTATATAATAAGATATGTAATAACATATATACATAACAACTGTATCAATATATAATATGTTTATACGCAACCAGCAGACAAAGAGGAGATAATAATATAGGCAACAGATTAGTTGCAGCGTTACCTGCGTGTATACCGATCAGAATTCGGCCGACGATGATCATTTCGAAGGAAGAGAGCATTTTAGAGAATATAAACAGTGCTGCGGATACGAGAGCCAATATGTTATTCAGCAATATTGTTGGCTTCCTATAAGAGAACAGAACACAATGTACTCAAATTGAAACGCGTGTGTGTGAGATATACGTTTAACAAAATTGCGAGTACGTGCATTCACCATGTCGAGCCACCTTGCTACTCATTTTTATAGGAAACTTGTGAGTCTGCGCATGCGCACTCTACGTGTATAATTTCAACAAAATAATATTTCTTTTGGCGGAAACCTGGCTTGTGCAAAACGATATTACTATATGCTTTAGTATATGGAAATTGTCTTTGGAAATAGAAGTTTGGCGGATAGACAATTAAGGCACCTTATAATATTTATTCAATAAACTTAGATGTTGGAATAGGCATTATTCATCATGTTAAGCCACTAGTGAGAATGTACCCTCTACTCTAGTTAGATGTTCAACAAAATATTTTTCATGCGGAAAGGCTCAAACACTCTACCGATGCTACAGTATGGTATCCCTCACTGTTTTCATAGGCGCTAACCTGCCCAACTTGTCCGTCATAAACGCAGTGCTCATGCCGCCGAAAACGCCACCTGCCGCCGTTCCGGCGACAGAGAATGACCAGAGAAGATTGAGCATGCCATCTGTCATCGGCTCACCAGTACGATCGTAGTAGGTCTTGTTATAGAAGTCCTCGAATACCTAATCAATTCAGTTAAATGAGTAGAATGTAATATGTGGACCACTGATTTCTCTGCAAGTAGTCACTATATTTTTTACTATATTTTATACCACATATTTTACTACATTTTAGACCATTTTCTACTATATTTTATTCGCTTGTAGTTTATTACTTTGCTATGAACGAGATGTATACATCCAAAATGGTCCGAATTTTGAATATTTTGTGACATAATTAGAATATATTTATCTGTCTGCCAGCATACCTAGACTATAATAATGAGAAAACCAATGTAGAATAATCACAGAACTGCTTCGAGAAATTAATGCGATTGAATTTAATTGTACATTTCCCCATACTAGTACTCAAGTATTTCAAATGATGATATGAAAGTAATGGTATTTTCGCTCCCTTTTTCCCATCGTGCAACGCCTACAGACTATTGGACAAAATTTTATCGTAATCGTTATACCGTCAGGCGTCGTCTTGTTGACGTAATGGAAAGAAGGACATCGAAAGAGAGATAAAGAGGGAGGGAAAAGAGGAGAGAGAGAAAAATTGAGAGAATACGAAGGAAAGAGAAAGGGAAGAGAGAAGAGAGAGACGGCGAGAGAGACGAGGAAACAGAGAGGGAGAGAGACGAGGAGAGGTCAAGAGAGAGAGAGAGAGAGAAAAAGAGAAAGAAAGTGAGAGCGAGAAAAAGAGAGAGGGGAAAAGAAAGGAAGAGATATAATAAGAGTATATATACGTTCTCGTAGCGTGTATTTATATAGAGATTTGCCGGCTATAGCGTGAAGCACGTCGTATTGGCTGGCTGATTCTGCAACATTACCTTCTGCGGGGCATTGATGACGCCCAGATTGTATCCGCACTGGAACGATGGTCCCAACACCATCGATGAGACAGCGAAGATCAGGGTCCATGACAAGCCAGCCTGTGCCAAATAGTCACATAGTCAAATAGTGTCAAATAGAGTCGCTCCCTGTACAGGGCGAGGCAAAGGCGCGCACGGCAATCGGCGTACATTCAGGCTAAATAAATGCATTTCTTCGTTATTTGTTTTGTTTGTTAGTATTGCTCTCCGCCAACTTGTGGCTGATTACGATTAGATTTGGCCTTGATTTGGCGCGTACCATATTTATCGCGAGTCAAGAACGGTCAGCAGTTATCCTTGACGATAAACGCTTACACAGGCGCCCACCAGCGTATATAAAAGGATCAGAGTAGTAGATAAAAATACCTAAGTAAAGAGTACTTGTTTTAACTAGGCTGCTGAGCAAATAATTATTTTTCGGCAATCCCTATTTAATTCGGTTGTTCTTTGCTTTGATACCCGATAGTAGAATATACACACCTAGTTTTGCTGAAGGGGTCGTTGTCGTATAGGGTACCTAGGTCGCATACGCCTACTCCCTAACCCTAACCCTAACCCTAACCCTAACCCTAGCCCTAACCCTAACCCTAACCCTAACCCTAAACATATCAGATAGTTACCTCGGGTACATATATGTAGTACCCTATACCACAACGACCATTCGTGCCCTAGTTTTACAGTGTAGCCGGATTTGAGTACATAATATTATGATGGTTCTTAATTTCTGATCACATAGATAGGCTGGCTAATTATACACAACAGCACTACTGTAGCTTGCACGTTACAGTTTAACTTTTAGATATATATTTAGTTAGTGATTTATTCACAAATTAAGAATTCTATCTATCTATCTATCTATCTATCTATCTATCTATCTATCTATCTATCTATCTATCTATCTATTTATTTATCTATCTATCTATCTATATATATATAGATATAGTATACATAGTATAATATCTATATGATATATTATAATTATATGATACGTTAAGTATATATATATAGGTATATATTATATAATTGCTGATGAGGCTTAGAGTCTATGACTGTCGGTAGAGTGCTCGAGCGTTAAGCTTGGCAGAGGCGTAATATTGCTATTCTTGTAGAGTATACTTAAAAGGAGAGTTTACTCTAAGGTTCATAGCGGTATTTCAGCTATGTCTAGGTTATAATACGCCTACATAAACAAGTTTCAGGTTCAATACCATTAGGAATATTTATTAAAAAAATGTTTAAAACTAGACGACTACAGTGATTACAGGGCAACGACGGTGGCGCCACGTCAAAGCGCACGATCTGATATAGTCTGCGCAAAAACACTTTCCAACCAAGGGCTGACGAGACACGGGAGGGTGATTTTGTATTTATTTCCATTAAAAGCAAAGGATTGTAATTATTTATAAACACACATATTAATTTCACGTTATGAAGATATGGATAAAGTACTGTGCTCTAAAATGAATACTCGTCGTTCGGTAAATAGGGACATTTAGTATAGAAGTATAATTGCACTTTTAGTGATTAGGCCCGTCGGTCATGTAAGCCTGCAAAATATAATGGTTACAATACGGCAAGCTTTTTCGAGTGGCAGCCACGCGTCGCGGGGTCTGTCGATGGCGCGCTTCACATTTTGTAGGCGTTGATTTGCTACAGGAAATAGAAGTATGAGAGAGACAGTTAGAAGAGGCTCGTAGTGAGAGAGTAGAAGTAGAAGAACAGGAAGTAGAAGGCTCATACCCAGGCCGCGGCAGCGTGGCCCCACAGTTCTGTACAACTGTCACGTGAGGAGCGCCATAGCTGTGGTGCAGTTCCAGGCCTGCTAGGGATATGTCTGATATTTCAAGCCGGTACGGAGATGACGGTACGCCATATATTTGGCTATATACCTTGAGTAATCGTGCGTCCAATAACTCCATATTCACAGATAGTATAGCTAAGACATAATGTAGTCCGATGCTGATAGCGCCTACGTATCTAGAATGATATTTATGGCAATGATGCACACAGGGCCGTACCCTTCTAGGCTTGAATACAAGAAGATATCTATGGCAGAATGCATCTCCGCGTACCCGGGCTTGAATAAAGAAAGTCATGATAAGAAAGTAGTACTAGTAGTTGTGAATGTTGTACCGGCGTTAATGATGTTAGTTTAAATTACAGAAAAACATGCCATGGATGCGTTTTCCTATGGGATTCGCTATATCTTTTTAAACACTGCATGTTCTTACAGATGGTAAAATTAAAAATTTCACTGCTACTGGAATGGATTGTTGCACATGCTATGCTGCTACTCGGAAATAAAATTGCACTTAACTATCGCGGCACATTGGCCAAGAAAATAAGGCAATAGTTATTGTAGCTAGGTTCGGCACTCAGCATTCCGCCAGCGCCCCAACTAGGAACTAATCTAAGTTATGGCTTCTACGATAATACATACATTGTACCGGCGAAGAAAAAGTCATTTGTGTATAATTCCAGTTATGTCACAATATTTCTTACGCTACTTGTATACTGTGCGCAACTTAGGTTTCGCTTATCTACTTATTTGGTATTTCAACACAGCGTGGGCAGGAATCAGATTCTTTTTATTGCGAGCAAATTATTATATCTTGTCTTATATATATACCTGATATACTTAAGGCGCATCTCTACATCGGCCAGTGTCACCATGTGAAGGCGCATTCTACATCGCCGTGTCCGTCATGTGGGCGCATCTCTACATCGCCAATGTTGAGCGCATCGCTAATCGCGCGGTGTCACCATGTGAAGCCGGCATCTCGCTACATTCGGCCGTTCACCCTGGTGAAGCGCATTCGCTACACTCCGCCGATGTCACCAGCTGTGAGCGCATCGCTACCACCTCGCCGTGTCACCCAATGTGAGCGCGCATCCTCTGACATCGGCCGTGTCACGCGCATGCGACGCAGCTCATCGCCAAAACGCCGCGTGCCGTGATCACATCGTGGGCGCATCGCATACGGATCGTCCCCGGTGTCACAATGTGGCGGCATCTCTACTCGCCGTGGTGCAGCCATGTGAGCGCGTCGCACACCACTGGAGCTGGTCGGCCGTGTCCACCCATGTTGAGGCGCATCTGCTGAATAGCACGTGTCTGCCATGTGGGCGATTTGCCAAAGTGTCGCCATTGGGCGCGGTCGCTCCCGATGTGGCGGCGTCGCTACAAGCCACCCGCCGTCGCGCGTGTCACCATGTGTGTGAGCGGCGTCGCGACACTTGCCGTGCGCCATGTCCAGCGCGTCGTCATGTAGCCGCGCATGCGTCGATGTGAGCGGCATTACGCCGGCGCATGTGAGGCGCTATCGTCATGTGAGCGGCAGCCCTCGGATGTGAGGCGCAGCATAGCATCGTAGCGCCATCGCCGATGTTGAGCGCATTGCGCTGTGAGGCGCATGTGCCATGTGAGCGCCAAAGCCGCGCAGCGGGCCCCCGCCGTCGTCATGGTGAAGCGCGATTGCCCATGTGAGCGCAAGTTGCCAATGTACGCGCATTGCCGATCGTGCAGCGCATCGTCATGTGAGCGCCATCGGGCACATGCTGAGCGAGCAATCGCAATGTGAGCGGGCATTGCCATGTGAGACGCATTGCTAGATGTGAGCGCGCAGTTGCCATTTGAGTGACGTCGGCCACAGATCGCCGTGCTGCTCATGTGACGGCATTCGCCATGTGAGCGGCATCGCATGGTGAGGCACAGGAAGGAGAAGGGTGGCCGCCGGGTATGAGCAGGGTGCTCTGACGTATGGTGAGCGCAACGTCGCCTGTGAGCGAGCATCGCTACACTGTCGGCCATGTGAGGCGCATGCTCTACATCGCCCGTGTCGTCATGTGGGCGCATCTCTACATCGCCGTGTCCGCCATGTGCGCCGCATCGCTACATCGCCTGGGTGCGCCGATGCTGAGGCGCATCTCTGGCATTGCGCCGTGTCATCCAAATGTGAGCCGCATGCGGCCACATTCGCGGTGTCTCCTTGAGCGATCTCTACACTCGCGTGTCTCCGATGTGAGCGGCATCGCTAGCACGGTCGCTGGGTCACGCCATGTGAGGCATCGCTACAACTCGCCGTGTCACCCATGTGAGCGGCGATCTCCTACATCGGCGCAGTGTCGCCATGTGAATGCGCAGTCGCTACACCGCACGGCGATCGCAGGTGGTCGGCCGATGGTGAGACGCAGTCGTCATGTGAGGCGCATTGGCATGTGAGCGCATTCGCCATGTGAGCGCGATTGCGATGTGAGCGCATTGGCCATGTAAAGCACGCATTTGCCATGTGAGGCGCATCGCCATGGTGAGCCGCATTGCCATGGTGAGCGCACGTCATGTGGAGCGCAATTGCCATGTGAGCGGTCTATCGGCCAATGATGTGAGCCGCACGTCGCCCTGGAGTGAGGCGTGTCGCCATGTGAGCCAATTGCCGCAATGGTAGAGCGCACGTGATCGCCGACTTGGGCGGGCGATCGTCAGATTGAGTCGCGCGATCGAGATGTGAGCGCATGCCATGTGGAAGCGGGCCATCGCCCATGTGAGGGCCATGTCATAGGGTAGCGCAGATCGCCATGATGACGCGCATTGCCGATCGTGAGACGCGATCGTCATTGAGCGCATTGCCATGGCTGAGGCGCAGATCGCAGATTGTGAGCGCATTGCATATGGTGAGCGCAGTTCTCGCCATGTGAGCGCGTCGTTTGGTTTTTGTAGGTCTGAAATTAATTGCTATGTATTAATCAGATAAGGTCGGAATGTCGGCAGCTAAAAAACTTTTCCGCGCTCACGGATAGCTTCGCAGCTCTGCCGGGAATCGGACTGATTGTGTGAGGCGCGTGTCGCCTCGTATTCATTTGCTGGCGTGTACGCGTCAGTGGATCAGTAAATTAGGGGATTGGCGCGATTCCGCTGACGCGCCTGTCGTGGTTGTGGTGCGACGAGGAAAGACATAGATTCAACAACGGGAGATTAATTCTTTTGGCAGTCGGGCCACTCTACCAACAGCGTTTAAGTCAACGATGCAGAGGCCCGTGAGTTACATATGGAGGGCCGCAGATGACTAGAAAGATGATAAATAAAATAAAAAGTAAACCCATAAGTACATAGTAAGAATATTTTTATTATGCCATATGTTATGAGAACCGAGGAAAACCATGAATAGAATATTGCATGCAGTTATCTTCACTGTATCGAATACCTGATACAGGGGAAAAAGTAAATGTAAAATTGCGAACAATCAACAAAGAAGAATAGCAATTCGGATTAATCAGCATAAACAAATTACAAATAATAATAAAGCAATATATTAATGTAGAAAATTCACTAATGTTGTTGAAAGACTCGGAATCATAATAATGAACTACTATGTAGACATGCGACGCTCCTTTCACTCATATAGTCTAATATATACAAATGTCATGTTTTTCGCTCATTCTCTCAGATTACCAACTAAGTAGTAAATAAAGACCTAAATATTAGGCTAGGAAGATGTGTGATTTCAAATTGAGCAAACCACTGTATGTTTTTTGTTTTTAAATTCTTTGTATAAGTAATGGAATTCAACGATTGGATTTTAAAGTTTACATTCTTGGCCAAATGCTCACGTTAACACATCAATTTCCTTGCTTTAATTAAGATTTGATATGCGTAACAACCTATTATTCCGAGATCCCCCCTTGGACCAGACACGTTTTGAGAATATCAGAATTTTTGCATTCGGAAATGGTAGTAGGCAGTACAGATATAGCGTAGCTGTATATGTGTAACTATAGCCAACACTAAACCAAGTTTTCGAGTGAGCGCAAAAATTCTGTTGCGCGGTAACAGTGCAATGCGTTATAGACTAATGCCAAACACATAATATTCGTCGGTCGAGTTTTGGGCACAGAGTCCGAGTTTTAATGTGCAGAGTACCGCTGCCGGCGAAAAACAATTCGAGCTTTTTCGGTTTTCAGAATCTTTGGTAATAGAGTTGTGTACTGTAAACCTTCATAAGATGTGATGGCAATTTGAAGAGAGTTGGGCACACGCGTCTAAATGGGGCGTGTTTCTTGACCCAGTCGATCAAAACAAGCTCTTCAAATGGGTCGAGCAGATGATAGAGCGTGGCCCGGTGCCCAGCGATCCCTCTCATCTTTGCCAAGCCACGGTCTTTCACGTAAGGGTGGCTTACCATGAGGGAAACTGAAAATGCAAAAAAGAAAATAATCAGCAATCATGATGCCTATAATAACTCATCTTTCACTACATCGGATTTCAGTGTATTGTACGCACATAAACAGTACATTCGGCAAATGTCTGCATGATTATTAACCTACTCACTGTACTGTAACGCCCGACGCAGGCGTGTGACTAAACGTCCAATATACAACATTGTGCAACAAGTATACAATAAGCGTTGGTATTCAACCCTAGAGGCTAGCAATACCGTTTCATGGAGCTACTGTACTTGTAGTTGTACAGTAGGATGAGTAGACCTGCAGTGTCAGGACAGTAGGGATAATATTAATCGGTGATTTTTTTAGTCTTAGTACGTCACATTATCTTTTACAAAACATTATACGAAAAATACCTGTGGAACGTCTTTCCAGATCTCTTTCTCTAGGCGATTGCAACAGTTGATGGCCACGCAACATGTAGGCATTTTGAAGCATTAGTCCTCAAGCTTTACTAGTGTCAGTAGTGATGCGCTACGCAGGCGGACTGCACCAATATGGCGCTGGTCACGTGACAGTTTGTGATAAAGCTGGCGACGCTGCCAGCACACGGCGAACGCTGGAGCGGCGTGTGTACGAGCGTTCTACTTCTATTCTATTTCTGTGTGCGCTTGATGTGTAAATAATTTTACAATTGAAATTAGGTATCTTGGTAACAAGATACGGGTGTGGGTATATACGATTTGTTATACAGTAAGTA